GATCCCAGCGGTTATCGCACATGCACGACGCTCGCTCGCTAGGCTAACGCTCCTTGTCCCTCGCTGGCCTAGTGCCTTCTGGTGGCCCATTATATACCCGGACGGTACTTCATATGCCCCCTTCATATTAGACCATGTGGTGCTTCCCCTAGGTGCTTCTTGTCTCGCACTAGGTAGTGATGTTCGTGCGTTTGGTGGAATCGGGTTACCTAACTCGCCCCTCATTGTTCTTCGCATGGATTTTTCTCTATAATAAATCGCTCCTTTATGGCAGGATCGGATATTTGTAAGCTTCTTCTGGACCTACTGGCACTCACGGTGGATCTTCGTGCCCAATCCACCATTCGCACGTACGAGCCATACTAGCGGCAGTACCGTGCTTTTTGCTCAAAGCACTCACTCCAATCGCTTCCGGCCAATGATCTCACCACAGCCCTCTTCCTCTTGCAATCAATCCGATTGGGTGCGACTCTAGCAGCCGTTCGTTCAATTTGTTCCGCCATCTCCTGCGCTCACTGGCTCTTAGGCGCGTCATCCCCTATCAAGGGACCGCTTTCCTCACACGTCAAGGATTACGCCCACCGCACGTGTGCCCACCCCCACCGGGCAAAGGATCCTGTGCCCCCCTCCAAGATCTACGACATGTGCGATGTCTACTTCTCCTCGCGAGACCCTGCCACCTTTCAAAAGGGGCTCATTCCACTCCTCATGTTCTCTGCCTTCTTGCGCTTCTCCGACCTCGTCGCCCTTCAGTGGCATCACATCGAGTTTGATGCTGAATGCATGTGGCTCTTCATTCCCCGATCCAAGACTGATCAACGCGGTGCCGGAGCTTGGGTTCCCGTTGCAACGTCGGACGCTCGCCACTGTCCCGTTGCTCGCGTTAAGGAATTTCTCTTCTTGGCTGGATTCTCTCGCGCGTCCATGGGCTCCCTCATTCGCGTCTTTCGGCCCGGTTCCGGCGCGTCACCGTCAGACTCCTCCCCGTCTTACACTACTGTGCGGAACTGGTGCCGCGAGGCCTTTACTCGTGTCGGTTTGGATCCTACCACCCTCGGGACGCACTCTTTTCGCAAGACAGCGGCCACCCTCGCTGTCGATGCTGGTGTTCCCGACCGCCTTTTCAAGGCGCTCGGGCGGTGGCGCAGCGATGGCGAAGGAGATGTACATCACCCAACTCGACTCTGAGTTAATTCGCGCATCCCGGCTCATGCAAGACCCGACTCGGCAAAGCGCTACCGCACGCTATGCAACCACCGTCAACCGGGTTCGCCACCGTCCGTTGCCATGATGTTTCGTTTGTCCTATGACGACTGCATTGCAGACTCCTTGTAGAGTCTTGTCACAATATGAATAATTTATAAATAAATTTCTAAATTGAATGCTTGTGACAAGATTCGGAAAGGGGGGAATGCAATAAGGAGGCGTTCCCCTCTTATCCCTCGGCAGGTCCACAGACCTGCCACCTAGTCTCATTTCATCCATCTCAGTTTGAGTTCCCGCCCACCGCACCCCTAGGACGCTTAGACGCTTAGATAGTATGTACTGCTTGTTCTTGCTATTTAATTATATATTGTGTGCCATGTAAAAAATTGATGATGATAATATGACGACTGCATTGCAGACTCCTTGTAGAGTCTTGTCACAATTGCATCACAGGCAAAAACGGGAGGTGTCGCACAGTCAAATGCCAAACCAAGCCCTAGACTTCGCCACCTCAAACATGGTGACTCGGCTTCATTTGTTTTGCAGTTGATCACGCTTTCTCTTACGTGAGACCCTGGTTTTAAAGCACTCTTCTGAGCCTACACATTTGCCGATTTAGTGGAATTTCGAGGTGCGGCAAAATCGTTCGCTTGTGCGAGGGCGAATCGACGAGAAGAAGGTTGGCAGAAAACTGAAACGTGCAGGCGTGTGTCCTCGAGGTCGAACTTTTAGAGAGATTGTACACGGTAGGATACTTTTAAGAGAGGTAACGCCACGGTGCAAAGCTCTAGAGTTCAAACTTCGACAATTTCTCCAAAAGACTTTGATAAAACCTACCACTCCAAATATATACGCTCGCTTTTATTTTCAGGGCAATCACGCAAACATCCTGGAATCGGCTACCTTGGGAGGGTCGGCCAGGTGGTGGCACCCCCTGTTCCTCGCTCGCAGCCTCGCAAGCCCTAGCATGGCCTCCTTGTTGGGCGAGGGCCTCAAATCGAAGCCTCGAGGCGAGGCGAGGATATATGGGCCCGGTTCGGCTGGCATTAAAAAAATGGCCTCGGGAAAGGGCTACAGTGAAACGACCACCCTGGAACCTTCCTTGATAAGCCCGTGAATGGTTATGAAGGCTCGATATAAGCGGGTCTACGCCGAACCTGACAATAATGGAATGCCTCCCGAACAGCCATTTTTTTGCAAGCGTTTTCAACCGCCAGAATCTTCCACGAACGCAGTTTCTCTGGCAAAGTGCCCATTTTCTGAACCGCTGCACCATGCGGCCTCGAGGCCCCGCACCATACGGGGTATCAGTGATTCGGGGCAATCAAATGTGACAAGTCAAATATGCCAGCCAATCACATGTTCACGCGATCCATCAGGGAAACTGTGCGGAGAATAGGCGATTGTGGGAGAGCCTAGGCGCAGAGTTGCAAAGCGGATGCTTGTAAACTGAATAATGATGCCAATGTTGGTATGCAGTAACTGAAGGAACGGAATTGATTAATTGATTATATTGATTGATTACAACAGAAACAACATGAACCTTATAGAGAAACATAGTGACGTTTGCGAGAACGTTCTACGAGAACGTCGTTCATGAAGAACGTTGTTCAAGGAGAACGTGCAAGCACCTACTCTAGTATGCGGTTCCAGGTTGGGACCGCCAGGTGAAAATACCATCAGGTGAAAACACCATCATATGTATTTCTACCTGCCCAGGAGTAGTTGCGCAGGTTCTTGCAACACTGACAGTTGCACGTACGCGTTTGTGCAATGTCGTCGCTTCCCTTGTCCAATGTCGAAACGTGCATACCGAAGCGCACAGATTGGAGTGTACTTGGCGAATTCCGCAATACAAGTAAAACCGGTATGCGGTATGCGAAGTCTCGCTACTCTGCATAGGGCTGCTACACGCGAAACCAGGCGCGTGCAGGGCTTGGCCTCAACAAACTGCCTGCCATCTTCGCCGAAACCCTAAATATCGATTGATGCCATCAATCTACACCCAATTAATGCCAACCGAACACCCAGACCCGTTTTTTCGAAGGTGCACTGCAGCTACTGGGTTGAAGGTTTATTACGGAAGTATGGAGCATACATCAGGATTGAGTATCCGAACGGCAAGCAGGCACTCTGTGGGAAGATAAAGAAAGTGAAGCGGCGTTAGTGGTTGGCTTGACTCGCTTTGGGTGGCTCGCTCAGAGAGTGGGTGCAAGTGTTTGCCGGTATGTCGGATAGCATAGCACATAACGAATTAATTTGTGTGGTTGGGCTGCTGAGAAGGCATTACCTTCAGAAGTTGCTACAGTAGCTCTACTGATCTCATGATCCTGTTGTGTGAATAACATGGGCAAGCGCATGAGTGGCTGACCGCGCACGAGTTAGCAAGCAATCCTTGGCGAGAGTTGTCTGTGTCCATATCAATTTACACGTTCTATGTAATTCGATTTGCAGTCTGCTGCTGACATTCCTCCAATTGCTGCAGCCGCTTGCGAAGTAACAGAAATGGCTCCAGCAGCACGGCTTTGATGAAGATACGTTTGAGTGGAGTAAAACGTCTGGTTCCAAATTTAGAAGATAGGAACCCAGCACATTTTCTGTACTTGCCCGATAGTTTCGACGAAACCTGTGTCGGTTTGTGGCGAAACGTCAGGCTCCACAACGCCTTCATTACAACCGAATACGTGGAGCGTACAACGAATCTGGGGAGTCCACGTACCACCAACATGACACGTCGAGTTCGGGCAGACATGTTAGAAGGAAGGCGGTGATCGTTCGTGTTTCTGGCGTGTACATTCCAGGCAGACTGTACAGTTGCGATATCCCTGACCGCGCTTCGTCAAGTCGGTTTGGCCGAGGTTTGAGGGACTCCAAGATGGGGCGAAAAGGTTTCGCAAGCGTGTAACATCACGTCGCTGTTTTCGTTACAGATGTGATGTACTCGCATTCCTCTGATTTCCAAATGGAATTGGCGCAAACGGTGGTGAGGTGAACTGACCATAAGTTGCAGACTCATTAGTTTCCTAGACTGACGTGTTTGTGAATCAGAGCCGCTCTTTATCCTTGCCGCAGTTTCCCATCGATAACCAATGGCGTCGATTGTTCTTCCTCCAGCTTGCGCTGCGTCTCTCGCGTCGCGCTGTCTTTCCGCGAGACAGCTTTCCGAATCCGCGCGATCCGCAATTCAGCCAGCACCTCCGCGACGAACTCGGCCAATCAGGACCGTCACTGCGGTGATGGGCGGAGGACCAGGCGACATACCCGCGGTGGGGAATTTGGGCTCGCCGATTCCCGTCGCGTCGATGTCGTCGCCGTCGCCGAGCAGAGCGCGACCGGCTTTTGCGATCGCTAGCGAAGCGACGGAGGGAGGCGCTGCGACGACGCCGGCGGCGGAGAAGGCGGCGCGAGTGGAGATCCCTACAGAGACCGACGCACGCGGTGGGTTGCGCTCGCGGGAAAGAGGGGAGACGGGTGGAGATGAACGAGGGATTGACTGGGAAGGGGGAGGGGAGGGTGGGGGAGGGGGGGGGGGGGGGTTTGGGGGGGGGGGGGTTGGAGGTGCGGTTATGATTGCTAGTTTGGCGAATTACCGCTAGGTTAAACGGGCCTGACCCCGGCCCCTTCGCTTTCTCCCTTTCGCCCGTCAACCTGTTCTGTCGCCCGTCTTCCCCGGACCCCTCTCACTCTCGCGTTTCCATGAAGTCCTCACGCGAATGGCGATTTGTTTCAGTCGACCAATCAACAATTGATTCCTGCTCCCTCCGCCCTCGCGTTTCCATGCAGGCCTGACGCGCATGGTGCTCCAGGAGGAGGGCTACCAGCAGTGGGAGTGGCAAGGCAACAAGGTATGCCCGCCCGTCCACCCGCCCGCCGGCGTGCTCGCATGCACTCACGCATCGCGCGCATCACATGCGCGTATTCTCACGTACAACGACCTACTCTCGCCCTCCCGACTCTCTCCCTTCCCGACTGCCCTTATCATCTCCCTCGCCTGCCCGTATCCTTTATCGCACCCAGCACACATGACACATGAATAACACCCGCTCGCTCACCCCACCTCGTCTCCCTCCGACCCCGCGCTCCTTTCCCACGCCTGCCGTCGCCTCCCCCCCTTCCCCTCCCCCCTCTCCCGCCCCCACCTTCCCCCGCGCCCACTGCACCCTGTGTGAAGGTGAACTACGTGGTGGCAGGGGACGTCAGCAGCGACGGCGCGAAGCACGGGCGTAGTTCGCCACGCCCGTGCTCTTCATTCGTCATGGCTTCGTCGCTTCCTCTCCCCCCTCTCTCACCCCCGCCCACTTCGCCCCAGCAGCGACGCCACGCCTTTTAAGGCATTCTTCCTTCCAAGTCCTTCCCCCCCTCCGTCCCCGCCCACCTCGTCCCCCCACCCCCCTTCCTCCCCCGCGCCCACTTAAAACCTTGTAAAGGTCAACCATCCGGTGGCAGGGGACTTCAGCAGCGACGCCACGCCCGTGCCTATCATTCATGGCTTCGGTGTCTCCTCCCCCCCTCCTCCTCTCCCCCCCACCTTTCCCCCCTTGGCTGCAACCCGTGTGAAGGTCAACTATGTGGTAGCGGGGGACGTCAGCAGCGACGCCACGCCCGTGCTACTCATCCATGGCTTTGGCGCCTCCGTGTACCACTGGAGGTATGGCCGTGGGGGAAAAGGGGGGGAGTGAGTGCATGCGAGGCGATTAGGGTGAGTCAGCAAGGGGCATGGCATGAGGCAGAATTTGATTCTCCGTGAAGTGTCTCCTCTGCTCCTCGCCGTCTCCCTTCCCTGTCATCACTCACAACCCAAGTACAACGCTTAGTACAATTTGAGACAAATCAAAGGTAAAACGTATACTGGAAACCTTGAGACACTTATCCTCTAACACCTTATCCTCCCCGCAGGTCGGCGCGTCTATGCCACTGACCTTTGTCAGGGACCACCCTTCCCCACTCGTCTCCCACCCGCTTCCCCTTCCCCTCCCAATCCCCTCCCTTCCACCAGGTACAACATCCCAGCGCTGGCAGCCTCAGGCCGGCCCGTATACGCCATCGATCTCATCAGCTTCGGGTGGAGCGACCGCGCGCTCATCCAATACAGTGCTGCTGCCTCACCATCCCCTGGCCTACTTATCACACACACCCTCCTCCCCCCCAACAGGTACAACATCCCAGCGCTGGCAGAATCAGGCCGGCCAGTCTACGCCATCGACCTCATCGGCTTCGGGTGGAGCGACCGCGCTCTCATCCAATACAGTGCCGCGATGTGGGCGGACCAGGTCTCCTCCTTCGTCCGCGACGTGATTGGCCGCCCCGCCGTGCTCGTGGGGAACAGCGTGGGCGGGTACGTTACCCTCACCACTGCAGCCAACCACCCAGATGTAGTAGCTGGTACCGTGCTTGTGAACGCCGCAGGGAAGTTTAGTGAAGCTCCTCCCGGCACGGCCCCGCTCTCCGGAGCAGACGAGTCTCCCAGCGAGCTGAAAGCGCGGAAAGCAGCAGCAGCGATGCCTGTTGAAACCCATGCGCACCAGCACGGGAAGGAGGAGCAGGTGCCGTTCACGGTGGTTGTTAAGGAGAAGGTGGGTGAGCTGGTGGAAGGGGTGGTGGCGGCGGTGGGGAAGGTTGCCCGCCGGGTTGTGCTGCAGGTGACGTTTCTGCAGGCGAAGCAGCCGGGGCGGATCAAGCAGGTGCTGGAGCTGGTTTATCCGAACGCTGCGAGCGTTGACGAGGAGTTGGTGCGGTCGATTGTGCTGCCCACACGCGATCCCAACGCCGCCGAGGTGTACTATAGGCTGTCTACTCAGGTGCTGCTGCACCCCTCTGCTCTCTCCCTCAACGACCTTCTTTCGACTCTTCGCTCGTCCGAGAGTCCCATGCTGCTGCTCTGGGGGGCGCTGGATCCGTGGATGACTCCTGCTAAGGCGCAGACTATTGTGGATAATTACCCTGCGGCGCAGAGGGTGGACATTTCTGCGGGGCATTGTCCGCATGATGAGGACCCGGATGCGTTCAACCAAGCCTTGCTTCAGTGGCTGCAGTCCAAGTTCTGACTGAACGTGTGTTTCGATTGATGTGCTGAAAGGGATAGGATGGTCTGGTTTGGACATCCTTGGGTTAACATACCTCTTGTGTGGTTTACCGCTGTACAGACTCCTGTTTGGAATGCGATGCGATTCCCTAATAACATGGCCATTTAACTACAATTATTGGTCAATTTGCTGCTCAAAATAGGGATATCCTGCTGGCGCCAAGTATGTACATTGTCTATATCTGCACATCGCGCAGTCGGTATTGCTGTAACAGGATCAATAAAATTCTGTGTCAGAAAATGTACCCTATGGCCATTTTCCTGAGCTTTGAGAACAAACTTGATTTCTGCTCGAAGCACTACCTTGTTTCTGCTGGGAGGATACTCAGGAAGAACAAGCTTTGTGGAACACAACCTTGCAATACAGAACACCCATATGCTAGGGACGGCTAAAGTCACAACACCGAAGACAACCAAGTAAGAGTAACGTAGCTCACAATGTCGAGAACGTTCCCGCCCGTGTCCGTACGCATTGTACGGCTGCGGCCAGGCTGAGCTGGAATTGACAAGCACGTGATATGGCAGACAAGTGCCGAGAGAGTGACCAATGCTTGAAACAGTTTGCGCGGAAGTCCTGGCGTACGTGGACTGTATCAGCACAACAACCACGTCCAGCGTGGAAATATCGGCACGCCTCCTGCCTCCCGCGCTCCCGCCTCTCGTCCACCTAGCTGTGCTCTCTAATTATAACACCCTAAATGTTTATTTGGCTTGATCGCAAACACTCGTTAGGTAGGAGCTAGCTATGATGCCTAGTGTTTTATGAGGTGTGTTCAGTGGTCACATCGCATGGGGCTGAAATTTAGTTCCGATTCTATTTGCGCTTCAACCCTCGATTACTGTTGTACGCGCATCGCATGATGAGCCGCGCGGCACACCACGCACGACGTGTGTACATAACACGTTGGCTCGTGCAAACCTTGCGCCATTGGTGCGCAGCGCACCAGCTCGCAACAGTGCGACTCGGGCGAGTGCGAAATTACGCGGACAACTTCCCAGTGCTGCCGAGGACATGCTCTTGCGACATGACGACAGCAATCAGGATTCAGGTCAGGACAAGCTCTACCGTACTAGGGTGCGGCAACCTAGCGAAACGGTCCCAGACGACACAACCCCCCCAAAACTTATGTCGGTTTCAACTCTGCGTCACGGTGATGACATGCCAACACAGCATTCAACGTCCTTAGGATATCCGTAGAATAGCACTGCGGATGATCCAATCCAACACCTGCTACTAACCATTTTCGCGCGGTGAAAATGAGGAGGAAGTGGGTGTACTACACTCACGCATGGACCGAGGGCCGTTCAATCCCGCCGACCCGAATCCTCTCAGCTAGAAATGGCCTCCGAGAGTCCCAGAATCTCATTGCAGAATAGCCTCTTTCGTCGATATTTTTACTTCTTCTGATTACCACCATGGAGCCATCACCAGCATCGCGTCTCTTCTTCTTCCTGCTCTGTAAGCAAGACCACTACTACCATGATATAGTGTACTATAGTAGTAGTACCATGGAGCCAGCATCGCCAAAGTTCTAGTAGTACCACTTTTGCTTATGACCGAGCGGCGACCAATGCCAATGCCACTCCGCTCAGCCCGGCTGCCGTGCATCCGATGCATCATGCCAACGGCCCCCGCCATGATGCCCCTTTGTGCGCTGCTTCCCTGCGCCCCGCAGGTTCGGCGTTCTTCGGTGTTACCGTGACAGCATCAATCTTCCCGCCGTTGCTTCGCGACGGCAGCGTTTTACCTGCGGTGTCTGCCGCTGCTGGAGGCAGCAAGCCCTTGGCGAAAAAGCTGGAGGTAGTGAGTAAGTGTCTGCAGCCCTACTATTTCAAAACTGCGCCTTCTTCGCTGCACCGTGGCGGTGTGATGCTGCTGCCGCTGCTGCTGCTGCTGCTGGAGGCGGGCGCAGGTGCACTGCCCTGCTCACCCTCTTCCAAAGTTCATCCAAGGAGTTTGAAACTCCTGGTTTCCTCAGGATTACTGTACTACCGAATGTGCTGCCAACATTGCTGCGTTGCATGTCATGTCTCTGGATGTCGCCCCAGGGATCATCATGTAAGAGCTCTCAAATCCAAGATCTGGGTCTGAAGTTCCCTCAGGGGGTCTGAAGTGTCTCAAGAGGTTTCAAGCCGTCAGGGCGTCTCATGCCAAAGCGTCTCATGCTGTGCTATTGGTTTAAGCAGCACCACCTCCTCACCAGTTGTCCTTCCACATCCCTCCCCATGCCACATCCCTCCCGATGCCATATCCCGTTCACACTGCCAGTGAAGTACGTGTACAAGCTACGTCCTACTAAGATCAATGGAAAAGTGGTCGGCGACAAAAAGGCATGGGGAAAATGGGTCATAAAAGTCATAAAGTAAGTCCGTGCATTTTTATATACTGCTTCTTATCTACCGGTTTTTGCATTCTTTAGCACCCCCACCTCCCTGTCCTCCTCACGACCATCTCCCTCCATGTCCTGTTGACAGGTCCTCAGCAACTGCATACTATGAACTGTCTAGCAATCGAGTCATGAACCTCAAATCTGGTGGATCAGTTCCTTCCACAGCCACCAGCACTTCCTGCACTCCTACCTCTCCACCTGGCACAACGAATTGGCAAAACATCACCAGTTCCAAGAGCAAGCGCAAGCGCTACAACTTCAAGTACACATACAGATCTGGGACCGCGGCTCTTAGTGATCTCCAAACGAATATAAAGCAGTCAGTGGCCAGTTCCCCTTTCTTTACGGTTCATCATAGTCACAACACTCATGCAGCGCTCTGCGGTAAGGTGAAGAAAGTTAAGTAGTGGTGATTGGCTCACGTTGGTTCTAATTGACTCACTGTGGCTGCTTCTGCATGGCTCACCATGGCTGCTTCTGCTTGGCTCACTTCTGCTGCTAATCTTTGGGTAACTCTGGTTATGGTACTTTTGATTGGTTCTGGGGGTGAAATTAGTGCATAGAAAGAGGTGGATCTGCTTGATTGTAGCACGTGTATTTAATGAAATCCTCTGCATCAACACAAGTGCTGGTCATAGTGGGTTTTATTCAGGAGCTAGGTGACCTATTACCGGTACTCAGTTATTCCCAAAGCCCAGGGCCCCAACATTTTGCTCAAAACCTTATCTCCACTCTATTACCATTACCATTTCTTAATTGGTATAATGTTTGCTGAAAACCTTATCTCACGTTTATTTGTTGTCTGACTAGATAGTGGAATCCTAACTCGCTAACTCATTTCGTACATCTTGTACTCGACGTATGTCACCACCGAAGCAGCCACGGAGTGTAGCTAACGCCCTCTATTGGCGCAACCAACGAAATCTTCCACCTTATCTTTATTGCTGGAGTTACTAGGTGGCTCCCACAACTAGTCCGATCTTCTTAGAGACGTATTTTTTGTCACAGTTGTTCCGGCTCTTGACCGTGGTGAGTGAACGATTTTCTGGTTGCCGCCATGCTCAAATTTCGGCTTATTCTGTTACGATCTTAGAAATCGTAGAGATTCGTTTTGATCTTATTTCGAGGTTCTTTGAAATTATGTTTTCGTCCCAGTCAATTCGCGCGTTCAGACAACGATTCGGCGTTTTTAAGCCTGACAACGATTTCTTCTGTTAGTCTCATTTCCTTGGGAGGATTATTCACTTCTCGCTCTGTACATCGCTTCCATGCAGTGATAGTAGCGGAGAGCTTTGTTCAGCCGCTGTACTCAATATAAGCATGGCAGAGGAGGATCCACCGGTCAAAGAGCACGAGGAGGAGGAAGAGGACGACGACGACGACGAAGAGAAGAGCGACGGCGGCGAGAGTTCCAGCTCGAGCTCTGATAGGTCCGACGACAAGGACGACGACGACGACGATCGCGATCCCGATCGCGAGCGCGAGCACAGCGGTGGCGGCGGCGGCGGTGGGGGCGGCGACGAGGAAGCGGAGATGAAGGAGGCGCGAAGCGACAGCGACAAGGACGACGACGACGATGACGACGACGAGAAGAAGGCGAGCGACAGCTCGAGCGACAGCGACAGCGATAGCGACAGCGAGTCGGATCGCGATTCGAGCAAAGACGATAGCGACGGAGGGGGGAAGGAGGAGGCGGGGGATGAGGCGATAGAGTCCCCTAATCCGGATGAGACGGAGAAAGATAAAGAGGGGGATGCTCCAAACGGGACGGGCGGGTCGCACGGCGACGGGGACGGGAATGGGAAGAGCGAGGAGGGTGTGAGTATGGATGTGGGAGGAGAGGGGAAGGACGATGCGCGGAAGGAGGAGGGGAGAGGGAGCGACGGCGGAGGAGTGGGGATGGGGAAGGAGGAGGAGTTGAAAGCAGGCGTTGCTGCCGCTGATGCTGGTGGCGCCGGTGGCGCTGCTGCTGCTGCTGCGGATGATTCAAGTGCTCCGGTTGACGCTATGGAGGAGGAGGCGGGGCATGCGGGGGAGGTGAGGGCGCAAGCGGACGCGGACAAGGCGGAAGACTCGCGCGGGGAGGGGGAGGAAACGCGGGAGCGCGGGGGGGCGGCCACAGGGCTGGGCGCAGAGGCGGAGGGCTCGGCGCACAGCCCGCAGGGGGGTGGCGCGGATGGGGAGGGGAAGGGCAGGCGGAGGGGGAAGGAAGGCGGGAAAGAGTCCGCGGAGGGGGATCAGGGCGCGGAAGAGGAGGGGAAAGACCCGGGGATGGAGCTAGAGATGAAGGCGGAAGAGGATACACTGGCGGAAGAGGCGGAACAGGCAGCGGCGGAGGCGGAAGCGGAGGCGGAGGCGGAAGCCGCCGTGGCGGCAGCAGCCGCGGAAGCAGCGGAGGCGGATGAGAAGATGGGGGAGGGCGGGGAGAAGGGCGGAGGCGGAGGCGGAGGGGGAGGCGGAGGCGGCGGGGGAGGGGGAGGGGGAGGCGGGGGAATGGATGAGCCATCTCAGAGGCCTCCGCATGGGTCGGAGGTGTTTGTGGGGGGAATTACAAGAGATATCTCAGAAGAGGATATTCGGGAGCTGTTTTCACAAATTGGCGAGATCTATGAGGTGAGTGGAGTGGTGGGGTGTGCGGGGGAAAGGGGCGGTGAGGGGCCGGGGATGGGGCGGGGAGGGGGCGGATGAGTCGGGGAGGGGGCGGATGGGTCGGGGAAAAGTCGGGGTTGGATTGGGGGGGGAGAGTGTGGGTGGGGTTGGGCGGGCACGGTGGGAGGGCAAGCGTGGGGCTTTTGAGTCGACTCAAATGAACATCTCACAGGAGGATACTCGGGAGCTGTTTTCACAGATAGGCGACATTTATGAGGTGAGTGGGTGTAGGTAGGTGCTGTGGGCTGGGGAGGTTGGGGGGGGGAGTTGGGTTTGTGGGGAGAGATTGTGTGGTTGGGGGGATAGGATGGGTGGTCGGGGTAAACGGGCAAGGGGGGGACTTGCAAGTCAATGTAGAGTGACGTTTATAAGATATCTTGTAAAGGATAACATTTTATCCCTGATGAGTGACGTTTATTAGTGTGAGTGGGCGTGCGTACGGTGGGGCTGGGAGGGCTGAAATGGGTTGAAAAGAGGGGGGGGGGAGTGCGGAAGCGGGTGAGAGGGGGGAGGGGGTGAGCGAGGGGCTCAGAGGGTGAAGGGCAGGGTGTGGGCGGGGTGCGGGCGGGGGTGAAGGGAGAGAAGCGGTTGGTTTGGGACAGCGGGAGGGTGTCCTTGCATGTGCCTGCTTTCGCTTGTGCATTCTGTACGTGTTGTCGCTCAATCAGCCTATGCCAGCCAGCCAGCCAGCCTGCCTGCCTGCCTGCCTGCCAGCCAGCCTGCCTGCCTGCCAGCCTGCCTGCCTGCCTGCCTGCCTGCCTGCCTGCCTGCCTGCCTGCCTGCCTGCCAGCCTGCCTGCCTGCCTGCCAGCCTGCCTGCCTGCCTGCCAGCCTGCCTGCCAGCCTGCCTGCCAGCCTGCCTGCCTGCCTGCCTGCCTGCCTGCCTGCCTGCCAGCCTGCCAGCCTGCCTGCCAGCCTGCCAGCCTGCCTGCCAGCCTGCCTGCCTGCCTGCCTGCCAGCCTGCCTGCCAGCCTGCCTGCCTGCCTGCCTGCCTGCCTGCCTGCCTGCCTGCCTGCCTGCCTGCCTGCCTGCCTGCCTGCCTGCCTGCCTTCCTCTTTTGGCTCTCCATAAAGCCAACCGCGCGTGCCGCTCTGCTCTTGGTGTACCCTTGCGCGTGCTGCATTCGTGTGTGCTCCGGTGCGTGTGTGTGTGGCCATGTGTGTGTGGCCATGTGTGTGTGGCCATGTGTGTGTGGCCATGTGTGTGTGGCCATGTGTGTGTGGCCATGTGTGTGTGGCCATGTGTGTGTGGCCATGTGTGTGTGGCCATGTGTGTGTGGCCATGTGTGTGTGGCCATGTGTGTGTGGCCATGTGTGTGTGGCCATGTGTGTGTGGCCATGTGTGTGTGGCCATGCGTGTGTGGCCATGTGTGTGTGGCCATGTGTGTGTGGCCATGTGTGTGTGGCCATGTGTGTGTGGCCATGTGTGTGTGGCCATGTGTGTGTGGCCATGTGTGTGTGGCCATGTGTGTGTGGCCATGTGTGTGTGGCCATGTGTGTGTGGCCATGTGTGTGTGGCCATGTGTGTGTGGCCATGTGTGTGTGACCGCGAGTCTGCGGTCACCGCTTTCTCAAGGGTAGAACTGCATATGTGTGTGTGTGCGGGCGGGGGTGGGTGGGGGGAGGCGAGGCACACAAACTCACCAGGTGCGGCGCTCAAGGATTGTGAGGCGGGAACAACCTCAAAGCTGCGTGCAACAGACCCCCCCGCACTCCAAGTACTGGCTGTCCGTGCCCCTGCTGCCGTTTGCATCCATGCACTCTAACCAAGCACCCCCCACCCTATCCTCTCTTCCCCAGGTGCGCGTGCTGAAGGACAGGGAGACGGGCAACCTCAAGGGGTACGGCTTTGTGACATTCTTCAACCGCCAGCATGCTGACAAGGCTATAGACACGCTCAACGGCTCCGAGATCAAGGTGCGCGCATTGGATGGTGTGGCGCAGTGCGGTGTGCATGTGTGTGTGTGAGAGAGGGGGGGAGGGGAGGGAAGGGAGGTGGGGCATTCTTCAACCGCCAGCACGCGGACAAGGCCATTGACACACTCAATGGCTCCGAGATCAAGGTGCGCGCATTGGATGGCTGGTGCGGTGCGGTGGGGTGTTGTGCGGTGTGCGTGGTGTGGTTCGTGTTGTGCAGTGTGTGGGGGGGGGAGGAGGTGGGGCATTCTTCAACCGCCAGCACGCTGACAAGGCCATTGACACGCTCAACAGCTCCGAGATCAAGGTGCGTGGTCGCTTGGTGCGGTGCGGTGCTGCGCGGTGTTGTGCGGAGGAGTGTTGTGTGGGGAGGGGGAGGTTGGGCATTTTTCAACCGCCAGCATGCCGACTAGACACGCTCAACGGCAGCGAGATCGAGGTGCACTGCACTGCAGCGGTGTGGTGTGTGGTGGTGCGGTGCGGTAGGGTGTGCGCGTGGTGTGGTGTGAGTTGGAGCTGCAACAGGATGGCTGCAAAGGTTGTGCGGGAGTGAGAGTGAAGTGCGATTGGATGCGTGCACGTGCCCTTTGTTAAGGCGCCTCAAGAGTAAGTGCATGTGTGTGCCCTGGTATGTTACCCTGAATCTTGCACCATTCATCCGTGCTCCAACGCCCATCCAGCCCATCCTCCTCCGCTCCTTGCTTGTATTACCCACCCCAGCACTGATCATCACCATACATACCCATTATAGTTCACGCATTTCGTTCCTCCTCTCTTCCTCTTTTCTAATCTTACTTTGGCAACAATCCCCCTCCTCTCCCCCGCTCCCTCTTTCCCCCTTCCCCCCTACACCCCGCTTTCCCCTCCCCTCCAATGCCCCCCCCTTTCTTCGACTGACCCTCTCGCATTTCAACTACTGGCTGTTCGTGTTGCCGCTTGCGTTGACATGCCGCTGACTAAATACTTCCCTCCCCTGCTCGCCTTCTCTTCTCCTCACCCGCAAGAAGCTGCGAGTGACCCCGTCCCAGTCCAAGTACCGCCTGTTCGTGGGCAACATCCCCAAGAGCTGGTCCCGGGACGCATGAGGCCTTGAGTTCACTCCCCCTCTTCCCTTCCCCTCCCCTCCCCCCCCACCATCAGAGCAAGAAGCTGCGGGTGACCCCCTCGCAGTCCAAGTACCGGCTGTTTGTCGGCAACATTCCCAAGAGCTGGTCAAGGGACGACCTGCACGCCACGCTGGAGGCGGAGGGCAAGGGCATCACCAACCTCGAGCTGCTCATGGTGGGTGGGCGGTGGTTGAGTAAATCAGCATTGAGTTCATTCCTAAGGCGCCTCAAAGGTTTGCCTTCAAGGCGTGCCAATTTGCCAAAGGACATGGCACGTTGGAGGCGGAGGGCAAGGGCATCACCAACCTCGAGCTGCTCATGGTGGGTGGGGTTGCTCGGAGGGTGGATGATTGGGTGGGTGGGTGGAGCAGCATCTGGCTTGTTGCTAACCCGCTTCAATAACAACACGCCACGTTGGAGGCGGAGGGCAAGGGCATCACCAACCTGGAACTGCTCATGGTGGGTGGGGGGGTTGCTGGGTGGGTGGGTTGGTAAGGGAGGGTGGAGCAGCATCTAGCTTGTTGGTAAGGCGGGTCATTAACAACGTGCCACGTTGGAGGCGGAGGGCAAGGGCATCACCAACCTCGAGCTGCTCATGGTGGGTGGGGTTGCTGGGTGGCTCAATGGTTGGGTGGGCTGCTTGGTGGGTGGGTGGGTGAGTGGGCAGGTGGTTGGTTGGGTTGGGTGCAGCAACATATGGCTGCTCGTTCGATGTGATGTGATGTCAGGGTGGAGTTGAGGGGTTGTGTTAGTGAGCGCGTATGTGAGCGCGTATGTGAGCGCGTATGTGAGCGCGTATGCTATGATGGCATCGAGTGCTCTCTTCCCTTAACTCCCTTCTCCCGCCTCCACTCTATGGCCCCTCAACCCCCCCCCCCCACAACCCCGTTCCCCATCCCTCCCGCCTCCCTTCCCCGCTTTCACTTCTCTCTCCTCCCTTTCCTGCCAGGACCCCAAGCTGCCAGGGCGCAACCGCGGGTACGCGTTTGTGGAGTGTCACAACCACGCGTGTGCGGAGGTGGCGCGGCGGCACTGTGAGGCGTGGGTACTCATTCTTGCAGCACCACAACCATGCACGCGCCCCAAGATGCGTCAAAGCCAAGCCAACTGCACCACACCTCGCCCTCCAACTCTTTTCCTCTCTCCTCTCCTTCCCCCCAGGACCCCAAGCTGCCAGGGCTCAATCGCGGGTACGCGTTCGTGGAGTGTGCGGAGGTGGCACTTGAAGCCCCCCCAACCCCCACAACCCGCTCCCCCCTGTCTCCCCCCGCACTTCAGGACCCCAAGCTGCCAGGGCGCAACCGCGGGTATGCATTCGTGGAGTATCACAACCACGCGTGTGCGGAGGTGGCGCGGCGGCACATGACAGCGCCCTCCTTCCGCCTCGCAGGCAACGTGCCCACCATCAGCTGGGCCGAACCCCGCTCTGAACCGGATCCCTCTGCCATGGCGCAGGTAGGGGTGGTGGGGCGGGTGGTGGGGCGGGTGGTGGGGCGGGTGGGGTTGGTGGGGATGATGGGACTGGTGAGGTTGCGGCGAGTCCAGCCAGGCGGGTGGGCCAAAATGGCGCTGGTGCTGTTTGGTGGGGCGGGCATGTGTGTATGCATGCGGTTGTCGTGAAGGGGGTATCTGACAGGGTGACACTACACACAATGGAACGGAGGTGGCGCGGCGGCACATGACAGCGCCCTCCTTCCGCCTCGCAGGCAACGTGCCCACCATCAGCTGGGCTGAACCGCGCTCTGAACCAGACCCCTTCGCTATGGCTCAAGTAAGGGTGCCGGGGGTGGTGAGGGTGGTGGTGGGACTGATGGGGCTGATGGGGCTGTGGTGTGGGAGGGTAGGTGCGACAGATTGGCACTGGCGCTGTTGGTTGGGGCATGTACATATTCGGTTGACGTGAGGGGACACCTGACAGGGTGACAGGGTGACACCACATGCAATGTGGGCTGAACCCCGCTCTGAGCCCGACCCCTCTGCTATGGCTCAGGTGCGGGTGATGGGGCGATGGGGGTGGTAATGGAGGTGGTGGGGCTTGCTTTCTTATTCATCTTATTAGAAGCAGCTGCTGGGGTTGGTGGGTCAACGTGCCCACCATCAGCTGGGCCGAACCGCGCTCCGAGTCTTATCCGTCAGCTATGGCTCAGGTAAGTGATGCTGGGGTTGGTGGTGGTGCTGCTGGGGGTGATGGGGCGGGTGCGGGTGCTGGGGTTGATAGCGACTGGTGGGGCTGGTGGGGCTGGTGGGGCAATGTGCCCACCATCGACTGGGCCGAACCCCGCTCTGAGCCCGACCTCTCCGCCATGGCTCAGGTGGGTGTGATGGGGTTGGTGGGGTTGGTGGGGCTGTTGGGGGGCTGCTGGGGGGCTGCGGCGAGTGCAGGTAGGTGACGTGAAGGGGACACCCGAGAAGGTGACAGAGAGAACTCGCAGGCAACGTGCCCACCATAAGCTGGCTGAACCCCGCTCTGAGCCCGACCCCTCCGCCATGGCTCAGGCGCGTACTGGTGATGGGGGTGTTGGTGGGGCAGCTGGGGGTGATGGGAGTGATGGAGGTGTTTCAATCTGGGATCTGGATGCCTTTCCCTTTCCTCACACCCTCGCCCCTCCCAGCTCCTCACACCCCCGCCAGGTGAAGGTGACAGAGGACGATCTGAAGGAAGCCTTTCAGCACTTTGGCGAGGTCACACGCGTCATCCTGCCGCCCATACCCCCTCCCTTCCCTGCTGCTCACAACCCCCCCTCCCCCCTGTAGGTGAAGGTGATATACGTGAAGGGCATATCAGAGAAGGTGACAGAGGACGATTTGAAGGAGGCGTTTCAGCGCTTTGGGGAGGTCACACGCGTGATCCTGCCGCCCCCGCGCCCGGGGCAGCCGAAGCGCGACTTTGGGTTTGTGCACTTTGGAGAGAGGGCGGACGCGCTCAAGGCGATTGAGACGCAGGAGAAGGTGCTGGTGGATGGTGAGTGGTGCTGGTGGATGGTGAGTGGTGCTGGTGGATGGTGAGTGGTGCTGGTGGATGGTGAGTGGTGCTGGTGGGTGATGAGTGGTGCTGGTGGATGGTGAGTGTCAATGAGAGTGTCACACTATAAGGGAAGAGGAAGGGATACTGTGTTGTTACGGAGTTCCTTAACCAGAATCCCCTATCCGTTCTAAGCCAAGCTCTTTCCCCTCCTTGCATCACCCTCTCTCCGCCGCCCCCCACGTCCAACCCAACCCACCCCACCAGGCAAGGAGGTCGAAGTATCCCTAGCCAAGCCCCCCCCAGGGCGCCCTGGCCCAACCCATCCCTCTCTCCTTCACCCTCTCTCCGCTTCCGTTCCCCTTCTCTCCCCCTCCCCCCACCCCTCCATACAACAATCCACTAGGCAAGGAGGTCGAAGTATCTCTAGCCAAGCCCCCCCCAGAGCGCCGCCCAGGCCCTGGGGAACCCCCCTACCCCCCCCGCTCCACGCCAGGGGGGGGAGGGGGCAGCGGGGGGAGTGGTCCGGGGGGAGGCAGCAGCACAGGGGGCGCCTCAGGCCTCCACCCCCAGTACCGCTCAGGATATGGCTATGGGGACATGGGCGGGGGAGGAGGGGGAGAAGGGAGGGCGTATGGGGGAGGTGGCGGGGGGTATGGGGGGAGGGAGCGGGGCGGGGAGGGGGCGTATGGGGCGTATTCGAGGAGTTTGGGGGAGAGGGGCGGGGGCGGGGGGGTGGGCGGCGGGGGAGGTGGCGGGGGTGGGGGGTTTGGGGGGCAGGTGCCGTTTATATACGGGAGGGGGCCGGCGCCAGCTGGCATGGTGATGGTGCCGATGATGCTGCCAGATGGACGGCTGGGATACATCCTGTGAGTGCTGTCTGTTGCCTGGGATGGTTTGAGGGTTTTTCTCAGTGCTCCCTGTTGTGGGTGGGTGGTTGTACGTGTCTGTACTGCATGTGTCTATCCATGTGTGTGCATTTGTGTGCATGTGTGTGCATGTGTGCGCATGCGTGTGCATGTGTGTGCATGTGTATGCATGTGTGCATGTGTATGCATTTGTGTGCATGTGTGTGCATGTGTGTGCATGTGTATGCATGTGTGCATGTGTATGCATGTGTGCATGCGTATGCATGTGTGCATGTGTATGCATGTGTGCATGTGTATGCATTTGTGTGCATGTGTGTGCATGTGTATGCATTTGTGTGCATTTGTGTGCTTGTGTGTGCATGTGTGTGCATGTGTGTGCATGTGTGTGCATGTGTGCGCATGTGTATGCATGTGTATGCATGTGTGCATGTGTATGCATGTGTGCATGTGTATGCATGTGTGCATGTGTATGCATGTGTGCATGCGTATGCATGTGTGCATGTGTATGCATGTGTGCATGCGTATGCATGTGTGCATGTGTATGCATGTGTGCATGTGTATGCATGTGCATGCATGTGTGTGCATGTGTATGCATGTGCATGCATGTGTATGCATGTGTGCATGTGTATGCATGTGCATGCATGTGTGTGCATGCACGTGGATGCGAGGGTATCTCGGCTCATCTCTGCTCATCTCTGCTCATCTCTGCTTATCGTCATCATGTCTTTGCTGCTCACCCCTGTGTGCGTGCGTGTGTGTGTGCACGGTACGTGTGCGGTGCGTGCTCCCCTGTGCAGGCAAAGAGAGGGGGAGGGTGGGGGAGGGGGGTACGGCGGCCGATATGCCGCCGGGGGAGGGGCGTACAGAGGAGGGGGAGGCGGAGGAGGAGGGTACACAAGGTCGGGTGGCGGAGGTGCGGGGTACGGGAGTGTTGGGGGTGCTAGTGCTGGTAACTCGCAAGCACGCCGTTACCGACCCTATTGATTGTCTTACGTCTTCGTTAGGGGCCTACCAAGGTGGGGGAGGCGGAGGAGCCAGATAAAGGAGTGTTGGGGGCGCTAGTGCTGGAAACTCGCAAGCACGCCGATACCGACCCTATTGATTGTGCCTTAGTTAGGGGCCTACCGAGGCGGGGAAGGGGGAGGTGGAGGAGGAGGGTATTCAAGGTCGGGTGGCGGAGGTGCGGGCTACGGGAGTGTTGGGGGCGCTAGTGCTGGTAACGCACAGGCACGCCGACGCCGTTACAGACCCTATTGATTGTCTTGAGCTTTGGAGCCATAGTGGTAAATTCTGGGAATGGGGTGGTTTGTAAGGGGTTGATTTGAGGCTTGGAGGGGGGAGGAAGGAAGGGGGTTTTTTACTGCTGGATTGAAACAAGTGCATGAAAATATACCTAGGTCATGGTGCGAGGAGAATGTGTATGAGGTGGAATTGTTGGGATAGGTAGTTTTCAGGGTCCTCAAGTTTTGTCTCATAATCCTCTAGTTTTGGTGGTCACTTCATATGAGTTGGAATTGTTGGCTATGGTACCTCTATTCAGTGTAACAGTGTAACTTAGACTAAGCGGTGTCTCTGAATTTGGCTACACTTTTTATTGAAGCCAGTTGTTTCGTGTTTCAAGCAAGGCGGCTTTTCTTGTATAGAGTAACCCAGCGCTCGAAAATAAACGATACAACGCGGCAACACAGTATCGGGGCCTCCCCTGTATCGGGTCAGTCTAGGGAACTTCTCCGCCAGTCCGTCACTGCTCGCTGACGGGTTCAGCTGGAATGAATATATTCCAGTAACATGTAACGCAATAACATCTAACGAGGAGTTCGTGACGGTCGTACTCCTAATGGAGCTAATAAGCGTGGTCGCGGTTCGGCCGTTCAGTGAATTCCGTAGCTCCTCCTTCCACATTACTTCTAGTCCTACTACTACTGTAACTACTACTAGTGCTACTAGTGCTACCAGTAGTACAACCTTCCCGCGCCACCACAAACCCCTGGTTCCGGCCCCCCTTGCGCGCAGCTTCCGCGAGCCGTTCTTCCGCCCGCCATGCCTCCGCCATCCGTGCCACCCCGTCTACCGCGCGCGGCAGCAAAGTCGCGCGGGGAACGCTGGATTAGCGGGTGCGAGAGCGATGTCTGGGGCCACGGGCGGACACGTGGCAGGACACGTGGCAGGACACGTGGAGGAGGGGAGCGAGGGGGTACATTCGCGAGGCGGCAGGTGCGGGGAAGAAGGCACAGTGTTGTGGGGGAGATCTTGAGACATCTCCAGCGAGCAGGGTAGTGTGGGGGAGGGGTGTGGCAAGTGCGGGAAGAAGGAGCCAAATGCACTAAACCACCCTCAAGCACTCAAGAAGGAGTTGGCTCCACAACAAAAAGCACAGGGCTAATGTAAACCCGAACCTCACTCAACCGCACTCAACCACCCTCAACCGCATTCAACCGCTCTCACCCCCCACTCCACCTCTCTCCACCCCATTCTACCTGACCCCACCCCTCCCGGCCTGCCTGCAGCGTGGAGCGTAACGACAGCAGCAGCACAGGGCCCCTGGTGAAGCCATCTCCCCAGGTGAGACCTGGACCGATCTCCCGACGGTCAGACCCTGGGTGGATCCTTGAGGCATGATATGATAACATAGTAGACTCGTTCCTTCTGACTGAGGCGTCTCAAGCAATAAATGTACATTGAGTCAACCCCAGAATCAATCACCTATCTCTCTCCCGCTCTCGCTCTCTCACGCTCGCACGTACCAAGGGGTGGCTTTCCCGGGCTCACCTGGGTTGTTGAGTTGAGGGGTGAGTGACCCCTCAAGATAAGCGATTCTGGGGTTGACTCAATCATGGGTGTGCAGGAGACAGGTTGGTTGGAACTTAAAGCCAGGGTCTCATGTAAGCTAAGGAGCCATCGACTGCAAAGCACTTGAAGCTAGGTAACCAAGTTAGTGCTGGCGAAGTTGTTCCTGGTTGGGTTGGAAACTCAGCTTGCATCACTGCCCCAAAAGCAATTGCACAACACTTTTGGGTACTTGAGACTTTCGATGAGTTGGGGGCATTTTAGGTTTGGCTCCGAACCAAGTTTCCAAGCCTAGATGGTTCGGTTACCCCCAGCGATTTACGTTCGCTTCGCACCCCTCGCTTCACCCCACTTCGAACCTTACACCTCGCCAACCAATCAAAGCCACACTTTCACCATCAATTGCAAAGCACTTGTAGTACGTGAGACCCTGGCTTTAAAGCCCTGTCAGTGAGATTCACAACTGTCAGTGCGCCAAGCCAAGCCAAGCTCTGCCACTGTTGAAGTTGACACATTGCACCTCGCGCGCTCGCTCCCCTTGCTCGCGAGCCTCCTGTCGCTCGCTCTCGCACGCGCTCATAACGCTCCCAGCCTGCGCCTTCTGTCCCTCGATCTGCTTCCATGTTTCACTCCGCCTCCCTCCCCCCACACCCTCCCCCTCCCTCCCCCACCCCTCGTCTTGCATCACCAGTTGTGTGAGTGTGCCAAGCCGTGTTGCTGCAAATGGCAGCGCTCGCTCTCAAGTCACAACGGCCCCTATCCAACCTTCTCCTCCCTCCCCCCTCCCCCCTCCCCCTTTCCACCTCCTCCTCAAACCCCCTTCTTATCCCCTCACTCTACCTGCGTCGTGCATCACCAGTTGTCAGTGCGCCAAGCGGTGCTGCTGCAGATGGTACCAATTGCTCACAATGGTGCCGTTCCAACCTTCTTCCTCCTCCCCACCCTCCCCCCTTCCCCGTCCCCCTCCCTCTCTTTCCACCCCCCACTCTACCTGCGTCTTGGATCACCAGCTCTCAGTGCACCAAGCGGTGCTGCTGCAGATGGCAGCACTCGCTCACAACGACACCCCTCGCACGGACCACGGCCTTGAGGTGGGCCCATGAGGTGGGGCGTGGGGGGGGAATAGGGGGCGTGAGGGAATGGCGTTTATTTGTTTATTTATTATCGAATTATTATTATTGCTATTATTATTATTATTGCTATTGTTGTTGTTGACTTTTTTGTTATTGTTATTATAATTGTTTTTTTTCTACTATTATTATTATGGGCATTTAGGAATAGTGCGTGAGAGACTAAGGGGTGGGGGAGAAGAGAGAGGGCGTTTTGTGGTATAGCAGAGCACCGAGCAATCCCTCCTGGTTTCCCGCTTCCCATTTCCCTTCCCCAATCTCCGCCTCCTTCCACCCATTCTTGATCCCGTTCCATCTCTCCACACTGTCACCAAGAAGAGTTGACTCTCTCCACACTGTCACCAAGAAGAGTTGACTCTCTCCACACTGTCACCAAGAAGAGTTGACTCTCCCCACGCTGACCCAGAGGGGGTGATGCTCCCTTTTCTCGTCCCTGTATGTATGCCATCAGGTTCTCTACTACTTTGCCAACGCTGAGGGAACTGTCTTGACGACTCCTGAGTCGACTCAAAACTTACCCTGTCTTGTCATGCACCCCTTGTTCGCCTCGTCCCTATGTCACCATGTGCCATCAGGTTCTCTACTACTTTGCCAATGCTGAGGGAACTCTCGCGGACCCCTCTGTCTCCCCCTCCTCCTCCGCTGCGTCGCTCCTCTCCCCCCTGCCGTGCTACTTCGGGTTTGCAGCAGACCTTTACCACTTTGGGCATTTCGCTCTCAAGTTCAAAACAAGGTCCGATGCTGCCGCTGCTGCTGCTGCTGCTGCTGCTGCTGCTGCTGCTTCTGCTGCTCCTTTCCTCACAAACGCTGTGGTTGCCGCTTGTGTGCTGCTTCATCATACCTAGAGAGGATTTTCTTCTTTCAGGTTTCGTCCATCGCTGAACCACTTTTTCCCTGTTCTCCATTCCTTCCTTCCCTTCCTCTCCTCTCCTCTCCACTCCTCTACTCTCTAAATCCTTTCCTCTCCTCTCCTTCCACTCCTCTCCTCTCCTCTCCTCCTGTCTGTCCCCTGTCCCGCCCTCTCTTCCTTCCTGCCTCATACGTGCTCTGGCCCTAACCACTCCTCCCTCTCCCCTATTCTCCTGCTCTCCTCCATTCTCAATTCCCCCAGGTACCGTCGGCTGTTGAACCACGGGGGAGCGCGCATTCTCTCCTCGCGCCCGCTCAACAGCTCAGGCTCATGTGTGCAGTGCAGGGTGGCAGTGAGACTAGCTCCCTTGCTGGCCCAGACCAAGGGAGGGAAGCTGGATGTGCATGGGAAGGGGATGGGGAGAGAAGACAAGGGGGAGGGGGAGAGGGTGGAGGGGAGTGTGGGTGAGGGAGAGGAGAGTGGGGGGGATGGCGGGGAGGGAGAGGAGAGCGAAGGAAGTGTGGAGGAGGGAGAGGAGGAGTGGGTGATGCAACTGTCGCATGTGGTGAGGGGTATTCAACCACCCTGCTGGCTTGTTGATTCGCTCCTGCCCAGCAACAAATAATAAATCATTGTGCAACTCTGTAACGTTACCATGAAAGTGAGCTCAATATTCTATGTAATCACCTAAGCTATAGCGCAGATAAGATTGGGCGGTCTGTTGTGATCGTATGATCTCTCCGGCTGGCTTGTGGTTGCTGCTGGCTTGATGCTTCCTATTAAAGCCCGAGTCCCAAGTTGCAGATCGCACGGGTCAAGTTTTAAAACTTGAACAACTTGGGTCTCGGGTTTTAAGCTACTTACCTAGGATGTCTGAATAATTGCATGCACCGGATATGCAACTCCTACTGTACAATAGTACATCTTACAATACGATTACCAACCTACCACACAAATGTCTACTAGTCAATGTCAAATCCAGTCTATAGAACTCTTATCTAGCTCACATTTACAGCATAAAAACCAAGCCAACCAAATCAACTGACCAGCAAACCAACCAAGCACAATCTATAACGCCAATCAGACACCACCATCTAACATACTATCGTCACTACTCATCCCAACACTTCCAGCCCATCGCTGGTACCACCGATCCCCGATCCATGAGTCCCAGCAGTCACCACTGTACCACCCTCCCATGCAACCTGTACGCCTAATACCCCTTACTACAGCCACTCCCTCCCCCCTTCTCCTCGCCCCCTATCAAGACGACATCTCTGAGTCCACTCGAAACACCTCACACCTTTCCTCCTCATCTCTTCTCTCCTCCATTCCCCTGCTCCAGCTTCAATACTCAGCTCAGCATCAATTACTCTCAAGCTAACCCAAAGGGGGCTCCCAGAATCCTGATTCTTCCTGCAAAGGGATGACGATCCATCCTCTGCGTGTTCTGTCCATTCTGCTCTGCAAGTTGAGCTCAACTCGGCTCCCCTGCTCCTCTCCTCAATCTACTCTAGGCAGCATGGCATAACCAGCCGGATGACTCTTGAGTCTACTCAAAAGTCGGGTCTATCCTTCCCTCCCTGCTCCTCGTCCCCGCCCCTTGGCGCCCTTCCAGGCTCTATCTAAACCAGGCGCCTGGAATTTTCCAAAGCGACTTGCATCCTCTCCCGTCACCTGCGTTCACGTCCGAGTCCTTCACCCCCCTGGATTCCGCACCCTTTACATGCAACGCAGAAGGTTCGAAACGTGCGACTGCAAGGAGAAGGGAGGGCGGATAGGGGGAAGAGCGAGAGTGAGTGAAAGAAGAGGGAGATGGGGGGAGAGAGAAACATGAGTGCACACATTCTTACGATTCGAATAAGGTAGATCCTACTCCCTCCCATCGTACTCCCTTGCATCCTACCTACTACATCCATCCATCTTACACCCTGCGTATTACCTGCTGCTACTGCTTCTCCTCCTCGTCTTCACTTGACCGTTCCTTCTTCTCCTCCCCTCCCCCTCGTCCTCCCACCCCATCCTCAGGGTCCTCCGATTTCTCTCTCTCCTTCCTCTCCTCCTCCTCATCCTCACTCCCAGAATCATCATCTCTCCTTCTCCTCCTCCCCCTCCTGCCAGAATCCTCATCATCATCATCATCATCCTCCCTCTCTCTCTTCCCATCCTCCCCGCCTCGACCCCCCCCATCCCGTCTCTTCTCCCGCTCCTTCTCCTCTTCCCGCCTCTCCCTCTCCTTCCTCTCCCTCCTCTCCTCCTCTGTCTCCTCCCTCCTCTCCCTCTCCCCACTCCGCCCACGCCCCTCCTCCTCTCTCCGCCTGTAAGGCTCATCATCCCGCCTCCTCTCCCTGCTCCTCTCCCTCTCCCTTCCCCCCTCCCTCTCCCTCCCCCTTTCCCTCTCCCTCTCATAATCACGCCCCCGATAATCAACTCCCGAACCTCCCCTATATCCTCCCCCCCCTCTGTAATCCCCACCGCCCCTGTAATCCCCACCTCCCCTGTGATCCCCTCCCCTATAATCTCCTCCCCTATAGTCCCCTCCCCTGTATTCCCCACCTCCCCTGTAATCACCCCCACCACGATAACCCCCCATCATCCCCCTTCCATAATCGCCCCCCCCACCACCACCGTACCCCCCCCCTCGTCCCCCCCACCCTCCCCCCATGCCCCTGTAATCCGGCCCTCCTCTGCCGTCAAAAAACGGAGGGGGGCCGGGAAAGGGGGCACGATCGTAGCTGGGGGAAAGCGGGGTGGGGACGGGGAGAGGGGGTTTGGGGCGGGGAAAGAGGAGCGGGGAAGGGCAGAGAGGGAAGGTAAGGAAGAGGGAGGGGGAGGGTGGGAGGGGAGGCAGGAGGGAGGAGGACAGGAGGGAGGAGGGGGGAGGGGGGTGGGGTGAGGGGGAGAGAAGGGGCTAAAGTGGGAGAAGGAAGATTCGGGAGGGAGTGAGTGCCACTGACGAGGAATGCAACACAAGGCGGTGAAGCAGAGGAAGGTGGGGAAATAAGGAGAGAATAACATTGTGTGGGAGTAAATGGCAGGTGGAGGGACGAAATCGTGTGAGCAAGAATGAGGGATGGATGGAACCAAATCAAGACACAAGGAAAGAGATGTGCTAGGTGCACTGGGGATGGGGTATGGGGCTTGGGGCATGGGGCATGGTGTATGGTGCATGGTGCATGGTGCGTGGTGCATGGTGCGTGGTGCATGTGTCATGGTGCATGGGACATGGGACATGACCACTTACCGAGGTCCATGGTGCATGGAGGGCGGGGGAGGCGGGCCAACCTCAGTGATCATGCCCTTATCTCTGCCATGGACATGGGGCATGGATGAGCATGGAGACATGCATGGGCATAAGAACGTGCATGGGCATGGGGACATGCATGGGCATGGTGACATGCATGAGCATGGGAACATGCACGGGCATGGGGACATGCATGGCATGGGTAGTCAAACAGGCATACTCATCATGCCACTAGTCGGGTTAAAAAACAAAATCAAAACCCAACTTCCATCCCCACCCCACCACCAGCCCCACTCCCAGCCGCATCCCCACTCCCAGCCGCATCCCCACTCCAACACACATCCCCACTCCCAGCCGCATTCCCAGCCCAAGCCATAGCCCCAATTCAGTCCCAACCCAACTCCACCTACAAACTCACCCCCACCCCCACCCCCACCCCCACCCCCACCCCCAGCCCCAGCCCAGGGCGTGGGCATGGCAGCTCACATGATTTCCTCGTTGCGCCCGTACTTGGCGAATTTCACCATGATCTCACGCCCGTCCACACAACCCTAGTCCCAGCCTCCCCCATCCCTACCCCCACCCAGACCACCAATGCGGAGAGAAGGCAAGGCAAGGCAAGGCAGGGCAGCTCACATGATCTCCTCGTTGCGGCCGTACTTGGCAAATTTCACCATGATATTGCGAGCCCCAAGCTCATCCTTAGCCCCAACACCCCCACCCCCACCCCCAACCCAGAGCGTGGCAATGGCAGCTCACATGATCTCCTCGTTGCGCCCGTACTTGGCGAATTTCACCATGATCTCCCGCCCGTCCACCGTTGTGCCTGCTCCTCCGGGAGTCATGCGGGCGTGGGTGGGGTGGCAGCAGAGCAGGGTACAAGGGAGGCGAGGGATGAGAGAGAGAGAGACACGCGTCGACTTTTGAGTCGACTCAAAAGTCTCCTCCGGGAGTCATGCGGGCGTGGGTGGGGTGGCAGCAGGGTACAAGGGAGGCGAGGGATGAGAGAGAGAGAGACACGCGTTTGCGGGAGGGGATTTTTCAGTCGACCCAGAATTTTGCCATGACCTCACGCCCGTACACACCGTCGTGCCCGCGTGCCCGTGAGTCATGTGGGCGTGGGGTGGGGCGTGGGGTAGGGTATGCGGAGTGGCGCGTGAAAACGGGGAATTCAGGGAAAACGGGCGAGCACAGCACACAACACACAGCACAGCGGAGCGGGGCGGGGCGGAGCGGGGCGGGGCGGAACGGAGCGGAGCGGAACGGAGCGGGGCGGAACAGAGCGGAACGGAACGGAGCAGAACGGAACGGAGGGCCCACCGTCAAGGCGTTCCACGGCCTTGGCTGCCTCGTCCTCATGCTTGAAGGGCTTGTGTTTCTAGACAAAAAAGCATTCTTTGAGTGTTCATTGCATCCCACCCACCCACTCACCGTCAAGGCGTTCCACGGCCTTGGCTGCCTCGTCCTCATGCTTGAAGCGCTTGTGTTTCTAGACAAAAAAGCATTCTTTGAGTGTTCATTGCATCCCACCCACCCACTCACCGTCAAGGCGTTCCACGGCCTTGGCTGCCTCGTCCTCATGCTTGAAGCGCACAAACGCAAACCCCCGTGACGTGCCCGTGCTGCTCCCTCCCATCCCATGCACACACACACGCATATGCGTCGAATCGGGGGAGGGCGGGTAGGGACGGTGCAGGGGAAAGGGGGAGAGGAAGGCGGAGAAGAGGAGAGGAGAAAGGGGAGAAGGGGAGATAGGGAAGGGGGAGGGAGAGAGAGCAGAGGGAAGACGGTGGAGAGGAGAGGGGCGAGGGGGAGAGAGGAAAGGGAAGAATGAAGGTAGGTGAGAGAAAAAGGGATCACGAAAAGGGGATGATTTGGCGGTGGCCAAAGGGAAGAGGAGGGGTAGGTGCAGCAAATCAATTAAGAACGCCTACGAAGAAACTCACTTTGATGTGACGGTGTGAGGAAGGGGAAGTAGAGAGAGAGGGGTGGGGAAGGGGGAGCGGAAGGGAGACGAGGGAGAGGGGCTGGGGGAGGGGGAGGGAGGGGGGAGACGGGGGGGAGGAGGTGTGGGGGGAAGGGAAGTGGGGGGGCATGCATGAAACGGCTGAGGGACAAGGCAGCAGCCATGCTCGCAAGCTGTGCCACGTGGTGTTTCAGCCGCATAACTAGATTTCTCCCCACTGCATCCCCACTGGAGTCCTATTCAAATAAGTATACCACCATCACCCATCCGCATCCCATCGCCTACCACCGCATCCCATCGCCTACCACCGCATCCCATCGCGTACCGCTTGTCCTTTGGAATGAAAATGTCAGAAACCGTGCCGTAGCGCTCGAATAGCGGCATCAGGTCCTGGGACGTGGTTCCTGGAGTAGAT